CTCTCTCTCTCTCTCTCTCTCACACACACACACATATATATATATGTATGTAAACACACCCACTCCCACATGACCTTATTATACGTTATTTTGTGTTTTCTGTAATTCCCAATCGTAAAATGTACCATTCCATTTTTTATGCATGTAATATTCTTCCTTATGTTTTTGGAGCTGAATATGACCCGGGCTTGCTCATTCACTCAGGTGGCTTACTGGTATTCAGTGACTTTCCCTGTGGAGTCATAGATCCCACGTAGTATAAAATAAATGATTAGCCCAATTTTTACAAGTTAAAATTTCTCTCAACTATTGTCTTAAAAATTGTAACATTTGTAAATTTGAATTTGTTTGTTCACTAAATGCAACATGCCACGTTCAGCCAGTAAATTGCCAACCAATGCAACTACATTTTTCTCATTTAGCACATGTTCAGTTAAAAAATGCTGGGTTGTTTCAACCCAACTTTGGGTCAAATATGGACTAACCCAACCGGTGGGTTAAATTTTTACATTAAATTTTTAACCCGAAAGTTGGGTTAGTCCATATTTGACCCAAAGTTGGGTTGAAACAACCCAGCATTTCTTAGAGTGTAGGACCAATAAATTGATTAGCTACGTTGTTTTATAGGACCTTTAATATGTGAAGTTAACTAAGTACTAATCATCTTACAGTGCTGCAAAGATATCAGGGAAACGCTTTTAAAAGATTGTAAATAGACCACAACACTTGACACACAATCCTCAAGAATAGTGTCAATCAACTAGTGTATAAAGATGAGCTCGTAACATTACAACGAATAGCTAACAATAATGACAAAGCATCAAAAGTCGGCAAACAGCAAAACAGACTTCGGTAACAGAAGATGCATAATCTGTTCATGCTGCTGTGAAGTGCATTCTGGGAACTCTCAAACCCTTAACATTACAGCAGTGTGGTTCAGTCTAAAATGCTTGGTTCAGGCAATTGTTTTTGACTAGTTGGGGCAACATTCAGTTGGACTGACGTGGATTATTTTTAATGTATTTTCAAGTAGTTCTTAGTATTTCTGACTCAAAATATTCATGGAAAATATGTAGGTGCTTAGCTTATATTTAATAGCTTTTTTATAGTATGACAGACATTTCTTTTGAGAAAATGTTACAAGTTTACAGTTAGTTTGTGGTGACCTAATTTTGCGGTATAGCTTAAAGTAACGCTTTCATTGGGAGGGGGTTTATTATCAGAGACCGGCGACTCCCACGCGTCATATCTCTCTATGAGTGCGTCATTCCGATATAGTTTCAGTATAATATCAGCTGTGCCTCCTGTCATACAGTCTCAGGCGGTTCGAGACGTGTCAGGGAGTGAGCTATCTTCATGAACTGAGGATTAGTAAGCATTAAGTAAGCACATGTATGCCACTTGAAGTTCAGTAAATATAGCCGAGCCCAAGTGTTCACTAGTGACTCATTCTTATCTCTGCCTCCTTTCTTCCTTTGAACTAATGCAGGCAACTATTAAAACACATGGCCTTGTTGCTCAGTAACTGATCTTGTTGTGAAGAGCAATAGACTTTCCCGCTGTTCTCAACTTGAGTTCATTCTTCCAAACTTTGTCATTGGCGTGGTGTCACCACCAGACTGTCTCATCGACTCGAGGTACTTCGCCATACTGACACGGAGAGGTGCTCGGATGAATTTAAATTCAAGATCTTATTCCGAGGAACGGGCACAGCACCTCTACCCCTGAGATGTGCAACCTGTGAGAACATCTACAGAAAGAAAGAATCGAGTGGATCAACTCATGAATGGATAGCCTATTTCTTCTTGAAGGTCTCTCACAGGATAGGCAGATATGACTGGCTCTCTATAAGTTGTTAATAAGTAATTTAGTCCAAAAGAGACCCATATGGAAAGATATCTGTGAATATATTCATACGTTTTCATATGATTCATTATTAGCATATTAGGTGGACAGTGCTATTAGCAAGACATTAAAGTTCCTTTAAGGCAAGTCATTTGGTGGCCATCTTGGTAATGGCCCTAGGCAGCTATTTTCTATCTACAAAGGATTGCATTCTAATAACAGGTCAAATCTCCAAAACATTTTGCCTACAAATGGCTTCTTTAGGGTTTATCTCACACACACACACACACACACACACACACACACACACACACACACACACACACACACACACACACAACAACAACAACTTGATCTAGTTAATATACCAAAATTTCATCAACCAAAGATATTCAGACAAAACGGCAACAAAAAAAAACAAGGGTTTCAGTCAAAATAGTTTCAGAGGGCCAAAATCACTGTGATGTTTAATTTATTGCTTCTCTGATGACCAAGAAATGACGCAAAAATTGTTTGACTGAAATATCAAGAGGCAGCTCAAAGAGCATTATTACTGGGTTAATATATATCTCTGAACAGCATATTAGTCTAAATTACCCAAGTTTATTTACAAGTATTTTACTTTCAGTTTCAGTTTTCAACTAAATTAACTTCAATTTCAGTTTTAGTGTTTGGTAAAGGTTAAAAAAACATTATGGTGCATCACTATAATATACAATTTAACCAAAAAAGGTAGGATTTCCTTTGCTACAGCCACTGTATTGAATGTTAGGATTTCTCTCATTAATTAATTAATTACATTTTTTTTTATAAAGGAGTGTACCGTCTCTGATAACATATGGAATATTTTATAAACTATATAAAATGGTTACTTTGTGGGAAATGGTAAATAGTATTTTTGATAGACAAATATAACATTTTTAAGACCAAACCCGAAACTGGTCCAACAGCTTGTTCTGGCTCAAAGTGTGTTTGTGCACTTGGACAAAATCAGTTACGTTGATATTAAAACAATTTACTCGACCATTAATTACAAACCATCCATGAAATTCAGTCCTGAACCAGGATGGAACCCAACATGTTATAGTTTGTCGGGTCTCTTTAGGGTTGTGTAGATAGCAGATCTCCATATTCATTACAGTAGCATACGTAAAGGTGCACTAAGAGATTTTTGCCAAAGGATGTTGATGCTTGAAAGCACCAAAACAAACACGCCCATACCCCAACAGGACCTCGCCCCTAATTTGATAACTCCGCCCCACACGTACGTACACAACCCTGGCAGCAACGATGGCGGAATCTGCTATGCACATTCAAGCAAAAGCCAACACAGAATAGTTGTGTGAAAAAATCTAAATGAGTGTAACTTAGGGCTGCACGATTAATCGAATGTGATTGTCATGCATATCTCGTCAGTAAAGCCGGTTTTGTGATTAGTAGTAAATCTCCAGCACGTGCTTTCAGATGGAGCAGCGTTTACTACACAAAGCCGTAGTTCACTGACAAGCTACACAAAATCACGTTCATAATCGCAGATGATTTAATCGCGCGATTATGAAATAGAAGAAATCGTTCTGCGATTATGAAAGCTGTTTGCGTAGCTTGTCAGTGAACTAAGACTCTGTGTAGTAAATGCTGCTCCATCTGAAAGCACGTGAAAATACCACATTTAATAACATGAACTCACTTCATAACAATTGTAGCTTCTGCCTAATCGCGATTTATTGCCTTTGCGATTTAATTTCGATTAATCGTGCAGCCCTAGCGTAACTCGCCTATCATTTCATTTGAGTAAAAATCGCCTATCTACCTTTTGCCTGATCGTAACCCTTCTTTTTAATGTTTTGTTCCTCCAAAATGTTCCTTTTTTATTTTTTAATCTACCGTCTCTCGCTATCTATTGTCGATCTGCTAATATCCGTCCTGTGCACTCAATGAGCGCTCTCTTCTCCCTGTCATTACTAGACACGCCCCTTACTGCTGATTGGCAGCGAGTGCGGTTTGGGACTCGGTCCGACACTGTGGACAAAAGCTTTTTTCAAATATTGCTTCATGCACCTTTAAATATGTTGTTATGGCCCAAAGCAGAAGCATTTTACACTTTGAAATCAGTTAAGGCAGGCTACTTTTGATGTAACCCTTCTTGCACAGTACATTAAACGAGACAAATTTAAAATGGCAACTGTCTCTGTCCACTCAATGTCATGATTGCTCCTGATTACATCATGATTGCTCATGCCAATATTTTAACCATTTCCTCCGTTTGAAATCCCTCTTCTCAGAATGTTATGGAACAATTCAACCCGGGGTTACGTAACCTCATAAACCTGGGAAAGAGCTACGAGAAAGCGGTTTCAGGTGAGCCTCACCTTTTCATATCCTTACTATAAGAACATACAATAAAGCGCATTTAAATGTCATTTTAAAAATGCTGTAATAATTTCCATATAGCAGTAGTATGTATGTTTTTAGCCATTGTCGCAAATTGTAAGGCTGCATTGCTTTATGAAGCCTTTGGTTATTTACGAGTCCCTGTACTCTGTTTTTATCAGTGCTTGATGATAAATACTGGGTTTTTAATGGCCCATGCTGATATCTAGAGAGCAGATTGTTTATGGCAGCTATATATACACATTAAGATTGCACAACAAAGAGGAAAAATTTGATGTGATCAGCTTTGGATAATGAGGTGTGATAAGCCCAAGATTAATTTGTCAAATCAATTTCAATTATTTATTATCAGTTACAGCCAGGAAATAATGACACATCCAATATCCACTTCTCCTGTTTTTATGGGTAGATGAACATCAGTCCAACTTAACTTTTTAATGGCAATCAAACTAAAATCTATACAAAGCGTAGACTTAACTAACGATTTACACATGCAAAATGACATCCAGATGAATTATGGAGGGAAAGATGGAGCACTGACTTCACTTTTCTTGTTTTGTGAAACATCCTTCACTCCCAAGTAACCTTTTCCTCAGATTGCTTTCTTATATATATATTATATGTTACATGTCAATCTGGAAAAAGTAGGTCTCCTGAACAAAGGGTGGGTTTCATCACATCTTGAACAAATGGATAGCTGCTTTAAAAAGAGGTTTAGACGTAATAACCATACTCAGTCTAAACACAACCCCTCTTATACAGCTTGTTGTTCCTGGACTGACTGAAGAGGTTTGTTGAATTTGCCCTCTGAGTTGCTAACTGTAATCCACAGGTCTTACAGACAGTAGCTCTCCTGACTGAGTGTGTTCATAAATCCTTTGTTGTTTTGACTCCAGAGCTTCTTCTGCCATAAACCCAGTGGGTAAGACACTGCGTCAGCTTTTAAAATCATGTCTCGAGTCTAGGCCTGGGCGATAAAACAGTATCGATATTTATCGACGGTACAGCTTCATCGATAACGATATAAAAAATATTCGATATAGCGCACGATATAGGCACATACTATGAGTAATGCACACACAAACACGAACACATGCTGAAATGAGTGCTGTGGCTGCCTGTGATGAGGAGATTGTGAATAAAAACATTAATATTAGTCGAATTTAAAATAAACATTTGCATTTGAATGTTAGGTGTGCATCAGGGAGCGTCATCAGTGGCGCGCGAGATGCGGTGATGTGAGTGACGTTGTTGTATTTTAATGTTTTGTTAGTCTAGCCCACGAGACGCGCCGCTGCTGCGTTATTCATTCAAAATATTAGAGAAATATAGAAGCTCAATGCGGAGAAGATCTTGATTAGGTTAAAACCGAAAACAAGCCATTCACACAGAACACATATTCAGCGCATTTTTTAGACGGACAAATACGACTTGCTGCACTCGTGTCTCACACAAGAGATGCAAAGAAAGTCATGTAAAGTTAAAACAGTTTTAACGTTTAGAAAACGCGACGCGAATTTGTGAAGGTTTATTTCATTTCACTGCGTCTCATTTGTTTTTAAATGCAATCTGTGTGATCGGCGATTTGGCTCTTTGTATTAGGCTAAGCAATGCATAAACACATGATGCTGTTTTGTTCATAATTGTTTATGCCGTTTACAATATTATATTTGTTTTATATATGTTAATTTAGACGTTATGCACGTTTTTATAGACCGTTATTTGAATTGACAGTTTAATGCGCCGCATTATTTTGTTCATTGCTCCCTCCTGTGGCCTCGGGAAACAAGTCAAAAGTTTCCTTAAGACCTATTTAATCTGCATATAAAACATTAGAAATTAGATATTTGTTTAGATTTTATTTTGTGTTTGACTGTTAAAAAATAATATATATGCAAATAAAGTGGGCAAATTAAAAATACAGTGGTTAAATAAAAAAAAAATGATATTGCTCTGTTTTACAAAAGGTTATAAAAAATGTCAATAATTATCGATACCGAACGATATGAAACGTATATCGTTGATATATTTTTTAGCTATATCGCCCAGCCCTACTCGAGTCGAGACACTGGCGTTCTGTTGTGCCCCATCCAAATATCTAGCTGCTTTTGAATTGCTTTTTTATAATTCTCATGATTGCTCATGCCAATATTTTAACCATTTCCTCCGTTTGAAATCCCTCTTCTCAGAATGTTATGGAACAATTCAACCCGGGGTTACGTAACCTCATAAACCTGGGAAAGAGCTACGAGAAAGCGGTTTCAGGTGAGCCTCACCTTTTCATATCCTTACTATAAGAACATACAATAAAGCGCATTTAAATGTCATTTTAAAAATGCTGTAATAATTTCCATATAGCAGTAGTATGTATGTTTTTAGCCATTGTCGCAAATTGTAAGGCTGCATTGCTTTATGAAGCCTTTGGTTATTTACGAGTCCCTGTACTCTGTTTTTATCAGTGCTTGATGATAAATACTGGGTTTTTAATGGCCCATGCTGATATCTAGAGAGCAGATTGTTTATGGCAGCTATATATACACATTAAGATTGCACAACAAAGAGGAAAAATTTGATGTGATCAGCTTTGGATAATGAGGTGTGATAAGCCCAAGATTAATTTGTCAAATCAATTTCAATTATTTATTATCAGTTACAGCCAGGAAATAATGACACATCCAATATCCACTTCTCCTGTTTTTATGGGTAGATGAACATCAGTCCAACTTAACTTTTTAATGGCAATCAAACTAAAATCTATACAAAGCGTAGACTTAACTAACGATTTACACATGCAAAATGACATCCAGATGAATTATGGAGGGAAAGATGGAGCACTGACTTCACTTTTCTTGTTTTGTGAAACATCCTTCACTCCCAAGTAACCTTTTCCTCAGATTGCTTTCTTATATATATATTATATGTTACATGTCAATCTGGAAAAAGTAGGTCTCCTGAACAAAGGGTGGGTTTCATCACATCTTGAACAAATGGATAGCTGCTTTAAAAAGAGGTTTAGACGTAATAACCATACTCAGTCTAAACACAACCCCTCTTATACAGCTTGTTGTTCCTGGACTGACTGAAGAGGTTTGTTGAATTTGCCCTCTGAGTTGCTAACTGTAATCCACAGGTCTTACAGACAGTAGCTCTCCTGACTGAGTGTGTTCATAAATCCTTTGTTGTTTTGACTCCAGAGCTTCTTCTGCCATAAACCCAGTGGGTAAGACACTGCGTCAGCTTTTAAAATCATGTCTCGAGTCTAGGCCTGGGCGATAAAACAGTATCGATATTTATCGACGGTACAGCTTCATCGATAACGATATAAAAAATATTCGATATAGCGCACGATATAGGCACATACTATCACACACAAACACACAAACACGAACACATGCTGAAATGAGTGCTGTGGCTGCCTGTGATGAGGAGATTGTGAATAAAAACTAGTCGAATTGTCGAATTTAAAATAAACATTTGCATTTGAATGTTAGGTGTGCATCAGGGAGCGTCATCAGTGGCGCGCGAGATGCGGTGATGTGAGTGACGTTGTTGTATTTTAATGTTTTGTTAGTCTAGCCCACGAGACGCGCCGCTGCTGCGTTATTCATTCAAAATATTAGAGAAATATAGAAGCTCAATGCGGAGAAGATCTTGATTAGGTTAAAACCGAAAACAAGCCATTCACACAGAACACATATTCAGCGCATTTTTTAGACGGACAAATACGACTTGCTGCACTCGTGTCTCACACAAGAGATGCAAAGAAAGTCATGTAAAGTTAAAACAGTTTTAACGTTTAGAAAACGCGACGCGAATTTGTGAAGGTTTATTTCATTTCACTGCGTCTCATTTGTTTTTAAATGCAATCTGTGTGATCGGCGATTTGGCTCTTTGTATTAGTCTAAGCAATTCATAAACACATGATGCTGTTTTGTTCATAATTGTTTATGCAGTTTACAAAATTATATTTGTTTTATATATGTTAATTTAGACGTTATGCACGTTTTTATAGACCGTTATTTGAATTGACAGTTTAATGCGCCGCATTATTTTGTTCATTGCTCCCTCCTGTGGCCTCGGGAAACAAGTCAAAAGTTTCCTTAAGACCTATTTAATCTGCATATAAAACATTAGAAATTAGATATTTGTTTAGATTTTATTTTGTGTTTGACTGTTAAAAAATAATATATATGCAAATAAAGTGGGCAAATTAAAAATACAGTGGTTAAATAAAAAAAAAATGATATTGCTCTGTTTTACAAAAGGTTATAAAAAATGTCAATAATTATCGATACCGAACGATATGAAACGTATATCGTTGATATATTTTTTAGCTATATCGCCCAGCCCTACTCGAGTCGAGACACTGGCGTTCTGTTGTGCCCCATCCAAATATCTAGCTGCTTTTGAATTGCTTTTTTATAATTCACTGATAACAAATGAAACGCTTGCAGATTGGTGAAATGAAATAATCATAGTATTAATTATACTCAAAAGCTTTTGGAAAACATTAGAAAACCCATCTGTAGATTTTTTTTTTTCTTTTTTAATCAACACAAGAATGAACATTTCAGTTATTTGGACAATCATTATATTAGTCATAATGCTGTATATTATCTCTAGTAAACAATGTGCAGCATGTTGTGAACACAAAGTGAAACAAATATCTTACACGAGTCCACCTCAGTAGAATAACCATATTCTTATCCTTGTTTTGCAGCCATGGTTCTGGCTGGGAAGCAGTACTTTGATGCTGTATCTAAGATCGGGGAGAACACAGCCGTGTCTCCAGTGTCCAGGGAACTGGGTGAGTCACGGCTAATTCTTTTTATTGAAAACTGCACGAGCGCTTTATCCATTTACTCTTCCTATTGTGCCATTTGTCCTGACTAGAGATGTTAAGGGGCCTGTGATTTCTCTGCGTAGAGTTCACAAAGGACATATGCAGCGAAAAACTGTGTAGCAATCATTTGTTCATTTGGTTGTCATTAGTGCTGAATACTGAGAAACAAATAGACTTGTAATCTTTCTTTATCACCGTTTACTCCATGGTGTTAAAGATAACATAGGCTATAAGCTGACATTGTGATAAAGTGCAGGTATGTGCCATAAAGCATGTTATGTGGCCTGAAATCACTTTTCTAGGGTTTTTCCTGCATAGAAAATTACGAGGCAGCCAAATTTTGTACCGCCACTGCTTCCATTAGAGCTTTTAGTTCATATTTGGAAAAATACTGATATTTTTATACAAGTTTACTTGATATTTCTTTACACAGAATCATAATTTCTACTAATTTTTCACTGATTTACGCGATCTGATGAGCATTAACTCATATTACGCGATATGTCTCTGTATGAATGAATGACGTGCGGTTTCGTTTACTACACACACGCTGAAGCGCACGCGACGCTCGCGGTGATTCCAGCGTCTGCCGTCTCACTAAATGAGGACATAAATACACGAACAACATCTCCAGAACTGCTCTGAGAGCCACTTCATGAGTATTTTACCATTTCATTTGCGTAAAACTAGCGTCATATGATGCACAGAAATATAAAGGTATTCACGGCAACCCGTCAAAATAAAAGTCCGGTTTAACTTGAATACATTGCAGCAGAAATACATTACTTGTGTTCAGCAGAATGTACATACTACTACCACTACTAAAATTATTAAAACTTTACTTTTTAAGAAATGATCACACAACATTTCTTCCATGTTTTAATTTTAATAGTAAATCCCCTTTGTTTGCCAAAAAATAGTTTCATTTTCAATAATTTAAAGATGGATTTATTTAATGTGTTATGCCTTCATTTGATAACCAGATACACAACACAGAGTTTCTGAGGAAAAAGAAAACATTTCATAAGGCTATTTTAAGAATAAATGTGAATGAATTAAGTTGTTTTTATGCATTCAAGTAATTAGACATGCTACAACAGAATTTGGTAACAATAAAACATAAGATTTCATAGGGCCCTAAACGTGTAATTTTTGTCAAACTTTTAATAGACTGATGTGACATTGTATAACTTCCATGATTTTAATTAATTAGACATGCTTTTTGATTAATAATGTAATTTAATGTAGGATTCTAGAAAAATTAGAACGGAATTTGGGAAAAAATAAAACTGATTTCATAGGGCCCTATATTTAACACACGATTACAACAGTATATGGTTTATATGTTATTTTAATGAGATCTGGGGTGTTTTCTTAACAATAAAGACAATAAAGAATGTTTACATGAGATATGCCAAGCTGGTCGCTTAGTATAAAAAACTACAAATACGTTATTACAAACACTGGATGCTGGTTTGAAGTGAGCTTTGAGTAAAAGCTTACTATTCATTTTATAAAAAGTCTTAGCTTGGTGCTAATGTTATCTTTAATGCACCTGTTACCCTGCTGCGATTGCATTTCATGATGAATCAGAAGAATTCACTTAAGGTTGTAAGAAAATATTTTGTTTTCTAGAAAGACACTTTAAGTGGATAAATGTATATTGGATCAATGCAATGTGGACCAGGAGACAATAAGGACTGGATGAAGATTTTCAGTTTCATGAGATGTTTAACAACCTAATGTTATATGTTCACCTGTACTACAAAAGGGCCCCTTTTAGCTGGTATGTTTTATTTAATTTCATGTTCAACAGGTTTGTTTTTGTAAAATGTAACGTGTATCATTTTCTTCAATCATATAATTTCATAATATCATAATTATTATAGCACCTAAAATAAGTTGCGTGTAAAAAGTGTTTGTTTCAGCCAGTTGAAGGGTGGGTACGTTGTGTGCACATGATCGGGATGGTTTGAGCCAGGAAAAGCTCCTGCTTTCAGTTTCATGTTCCGTTGAGCATGTTTGAAACAGTCGACTTTGAGCTGTTTGTTGACACCGCATTGTATCTGCCAGACCATAATAATGGTGGATGTATTGCATTTATTCAGTCGTGTTATGTTTGGGAAGTCAGGGTTCAAATCACATGTTGAAAGCCTCTGTTTAAAAAAAAAAAAAAAATTATACATTATGCAACTGTATAAACATTTCAGACAACATTATATGCTACATGACTGGCCTGCTTCCAGAACAGAACTACTTCTGAAATGAGTGCAGGTGCAATATCTTAATATCTCAAGTGCAGACATAATGTAATGCCACTTACAGTAGAAGAATATTTTAAAAAGCACCACTGTGACAAACTAGTGTAGGAGGTTGAAATTGTAATATATTAATTGCTTCAGCTTTATTGGTTAGTCATTTAGTCATTAAAGTCACTATGAATTTTTATGCAAAGTAATTAAAAAAATATTATATACGAGTATGTTGACAACAGAGGGTGTATAACTAACAATTAATCGATAATGTTTCTTCTTAGCGATTTGACGTAGGTTTAAAATTCTTTATGCAACACAAGTAATTGTATTTTTCTTATAGAGCAGTAGTAGTACAATTTATAGTAAATATTTTGTTCAGATGAGTGAATGTGTGTATTCCTCCTGCCTCGTACCAGTAAACATTTAGTGCTTTTGTGTGTCTTTATTATTTACAATAAGCTTTCATTTTACTACTTTAAAAATGGTAAGCAATGTTTTGTGGTTTAGAATGTGTTTTAACCCTTATTTGCACATAATTCATAGCATAGCCTACATTGATATGCTAATAATCAACAGATTAATAAATAATTAATCAATTATCAAAATAATCATTAGTTACAGCCCTAATAGGATGACTGATGACCACAGGTTTTTTGATTGTATGTTACAAGGTGTTCAGAAAATATAAAAGGAAAAGACGTATCAGTACGGAAGTATATATACTTTATGGAGAGATTGTAAATTATTTTTACATAATTTGACTTGACATAACTTTTAGTGGTCGACCGATATATCGCCAAGGCCAATATATCGGCCGATATTTGGCATTTTTCAAATATCGGCATCGGCCGATAAGTTTTTCTGCTTGGCCGATGGGTTCGAGGCGGGACTTTTATTTTGACGACGCCGAGAACGGCAGCGCCTGAGCACACAGTGCTCACATTCTCCCACTTGTTCGCTGTTGTTCTGTCTAATACGGATAGACGTCTGTCTAATAATCAAATAGAACGGTTAAACAAAGGAATTAAAATGTATACAAAAGTATTATAACGATTGCTTTTATATTATTAGTAATAGAAAGGCACACATTATAATACTTGTTTGCCGTCAGCATTCAGCAAATATGCATTTATATCATTTAAACAAATCTTTGAATGACTTCACAAACTTTGCAAACTTAGTGGAATCCAGCTGAGATCTTGTGAAGTGTGCATTTTTATCCAGCATAATCGCGTGCTCTCTGCGTGACAGTCGGTCCGTGTGAATTGAACGCGGACAGGAGGAGAGTTCAGCTTCACTGGAGACGCGCGATCGAAAAACTTTACACTCGTGATTTCAAATTATGCTGCGCTTTATGCATTTGCCCAGTGTCATATTCATGTCATTTTCTTTGTGTGCTGTATGTAAAATGAGTGTTACCTTTGCTTTATTTGAAAAAAATATTCCCAATGTACACAAACTTCCCAGAATACTGAGTGCCCTGTTGGTTACAGTTTACTTCCTTTTTAATTATGTTTTTATTAAATATTTATTTATTTGTGATATACTTTGTCATCTAAAGTATAAGTATGTTTATTTAACATAATTATTTTTTTAATCCATTTTCAAATGATTTAAAATTTCTTAAATATCAATTAAAATAAAATTATATCAGCTTTATATCGGCCTGCTTGCCAAGATATCGGCATCGGCTGTAAAAAAAAAAAAAAACAATATCGGTCGACCACTAATAACTTTACATAATTTTAACTTGTTCTCAATGCTACCATAATTAATATTTTACACACACACACATACGATGTGTATGTGTTTTTATATATATATATATATATATATATATATATATATATATATA